AAACATTTGTTCTGGTCTTCTATGTTTTGGCGGGAAATTGCAGCAAACCTTTACAGGCGTTCTGCTTCCTATCCCCTAATGAGAAACCCGACTAAAGTTTCACGGGCATTGAGAAGTAATTTTAAGACGCATGCCGCTCAACTGACGATTTTTTGCTGGGATTTCTATTGATGCTCAGGTGAAAGGCGGCATTGCACCTCGTCTGAATTAGCCCGAGTGTTTACGAGTGTTGTGCGACTTGCCCTACAGCTCTGGCAGTGGTCAAAACTTTCATTGGTTTTTTTTAAGAAATCGTCTACTTCCTGCCAGATGGAGACGAGAAAGAAAAGGAGATCATCCGCGAATTCCACCAACCGACAAATTCTCCCGACTCGCAGATGGCGAGACGATGTGGCTTCAGTAAGTGGGCCAACTCATGAAACTTCAACAAAAATTCCGAAATGCGTTTCCGTTTCGAAAAGATTAATTAAGCAGCGTTGCAAAACCAATCATCTTGCAGCATGGTTCTATTATAATTCAGTAACTCCAGGATGCCGGATTTCGAACAGACTTCTTTCCGGTCGCACCTAAAAACCATACTCCGTAAAAAAATGACTACTTAAGTAGCATGCATTTTTTCATTGATTTTCGATGTCCTTAAAGATTCAATTATATTTCATGGAAAACAGGCATAAAAATATTCACTCTTTTGCTCGTTCAGCAGAACATTACGTCTTGTTTTAATTTTACACTCGAAGGAAGGGTGTAATTAGGTTTTTCAAAACTTTTCCAACTCCCGAATGATTTTTAACTCGACCTGCCGTTACACTTGCATTCAGGGTTCCAAAACTACAAGCCGTATAAGTTCCGCGTATGGAAAACCATACATTTCTCTACGGCATTAAGAGGAGACCATAGGGGGTTCATAAAATTAAGCAATGGATCTGAACCACATTATTACCTTTACAAGCCACATTGGTAAATGCAGCGACATGAAGTTTTATGACGGGCCATTTCACGGTATTAAAAAATCTCACAATTAGAAACTTTTTAAAACAGCACTATACCCTTCATTCGAGCGTAAAATTGAAAGAAGATGTAATGTTCTACTGAATGAACAAAAGAATGAATATTTTTATGCATGTTTTCCCTGAAATATAATTGGATCGTTAAGGGCATCGAAAATCAATGAAAAAAACGCATGCTACTTAAGTAGAATTATGTTGCAGGCTGACGAGTTTTACAACCCCATTTAATTAATCTTTTCGAAACGGAAGCGCATTTCGGAATTTTTGTTGAGATTTCATGAGTTAGCCCACCTACTGTATATCGCTGGCTACCACGACCTTCAGACCCGGTCCCGAATGGGAAGAGAAAAAGTGGAACGCCAGTTGTACAGAACAACTGGGAGAAGGAATTGGAAGGAGTTAATAGCCAAGAGGGTGTGTGCACCCAAAACGGGCGCGTGGTAAATGCGCTGGACCAACACGGGGACCATAACAAATACAGTGCGTGACCTATCTCATGCAATGTTGGCTGAAATTCTGAAATGCGTTTTCGATTAGGAAGGATTACTTGGTCGCGGTTGTGATACTGATTATCTTATGGCACACTCTTATATCATTTTGGACTCGACAGGATGTCGGCTTTTAAATGCATTTCTTTTCAATCTCCCGTAGAAAGTATGCTCGGTAAAAAATGACTACTTATGTAGCATGCGTTTTTCCCATTGATTTTCGATGGTCTTGGAAATTCAAATATATTTTATAGAAACCACAAACAAAAATATGCCTTCTTTTAGTCAATCAATAGAGAATTACGTCTTCTTTATATTTTATACTTAAGGAAGGAGTATAATTAGGTTTTAGAAAAGTTTTCCATTTGCCGAAAAATTTGGAGCCTGATCATTCGTTGCATTAGCGCTTAGTGATTACACTCTACAATGTGCATGCGTTCCGCGTAAAGAAAACACCATATTTTTCTATGTCATTAAATAGATATCATGCAGGGTCCATAAAATTTTGCAATGGATGCGGGCCATGTTGTACATTTCATGAGGAGCAGTGGTAAACGGCCAGGTACGATGCTATGTGAATGGACATATTGCGGTCTTAAAAAGTCTCATAATAAGAAACTTTTTTAAAACCTAATTATACTCCTTCCTTAAGTATAAAATATAAAGAAGACGTGATTCGCTATTGATTGACTGAAAGAAAGCACATGTTTGTTTGTGGTTTTTATAAAATATATTTCGATTTCCAAGACCATCGAAAATCAATGGGAAAAGTGCATGCAAATTAAGTAGTCTTTTTTTACCAAGTACGCTTTCTACAGGAGATTGAAAAGAAGTGCATTTAAACGCCCACATCCTGCCGAGTCCAAAATGTTATAAGAGTATGCCATAAGATGATCAGTCTCACAACCGCGACCAAGTAATCCTTCTTAATCGAAAACGCATTTCAGAATTTCAGCCAACATTTCATGAGATAGGTCACTCACTGTACTAACATTTCGGGTGCTGCGGTGGCAGACCCGGTTACCGGCAGACGTCGCGCACACTGGGACCCCTGCCGCCCCCGTTGTTGTTGTTGGTCATAGACCTGGTCATTTATTGTGTGAACGAGGGACTGTGGAGTGGAACGCCAAGGTACGAGCTCCACCATGCCATCCACCTGCCCTGTGTAAAGAATAAACTAGTTCTCACAGCTCCCTGACTTCTGACATTAGACGAAACAAACTTATTGTGCGTGGTTTAAGTTGATCTCACATCCTTGACCGTTACAAATCTGAGTAGTAACCGACTGGAACAGAGGACGACGCTAGTGGCTCGGGAACTGGCGCGCTATACGGTGGACATCGCCGCACTCGGCGAGACTCGATTCGCCGAACAAGGCCAACTGGAGGACGTGGGAGCCGGTTGCACCTTCTTCTGGAGTGGTCGCCCCAGGACAGAGCGAGGGGACGTGGGTGTCTCCTTCGCCATCCGGAACGACATTGTGGGACGATTACCCTGTCTACCGCAGGACATCAGTGATCGTCTGATGAGCCTCTGTCTGCCTCTCTGTGGAGGCAAATTCGCCACCATCATCAGTGCCTTCGCTCCCCGATGGCCAGCCATGACGCCGCAAGGGACGAATTCTAGGAGGATCTGCATGACTTCCTGGCGACTGTGTCGAAGGCGGATAAGTTGATTGTCCTTGATGACTTCAACGCCCGCGTCGGCACAGACCATGCTGCCCGAAGAGGAGTGCTAGATCCCCATGGTCTCCGCGGCTCCAACGACAATGGCCTGCTCCTTCTCCGCACCTGCGCAGAACACCGCCTCATCCTGACAAACACCTTCTTCTGCCTGCCGGAGCGAGAGGAGGCCACCTGGAGGCATCCTCGGTAGCGTCAGTGGCATCTACTGGACTATGTCCTCGTCCGAAGGCGTGACCAGCGGGACGTGCTGGTGACGAAGGCGATCGCGGGTGCTGACGGGTGGACCGACCATCGCCTCGTCATCTCGAAGATGCGTATTCGCCTACAGCCTCGCAGGAGACCACAAGGTAAGCGACCCCCAGGTAAGCTGAATATTGCATTTTTGTCTTTTGCCGCTCACCATCTTCATTTCAGCAATGAGCTAGCTCAAAAACTAGACAAACTTCCTATCGTCGCCTCCTACAACAGCGGCTACGCGAGATGCAGGACGCTTGGACGTTTTGCAAGGCTGAGGAGATCCAAGGGTACGCAGACCGCAACGAATGAACGAACTCCTTCTCCGCGATCAAATCTGTCTACGGTCCGCCAACCAAAGATACTGCTCCTCTCCTCAGGGCCGACAGCCGTACCCTCCTGACTGAGAAGACACAAATTCTACAGCGATGGGCCGAGCACTTCTGAGGCGTCCTCAACCGTCCCTCCACCATCTCCGACGCCGCCATCGCACGTTTGCCGCAAGTGGATACCAACGCCGACCTCGACCTTCCGCCATCTCTCTACGAAACCATCAGGGCTGTGCAGCAGCTCTCCTGCGGAAAAGCACCCGGATCTGACGCAATCCCTGCCGATGACCCTCAACTAATGGATCGCCTGACTGCGTTCTTCCAGGAGATGGGGCGTCAAGGTGAAGTCCCGCAAGATTTCAAAGGCGCCACAATTGTGCATTTATAAAGGCAGAAAGGAAACCGCCAGCTCTGCGACAATCATCGAGGCCTCTCCTTGGTGAACATCGCCGGGAAAATCTTCGCTCGCATTCTCCTCAACCGCCTGAATCACCTGTCAGAAAGCCAATGCGGCTTCCGCCGTCATCGCGGGACCTCGGATATGCTCTTCGCCGCTACAGGAGAATTGCCAGGAGACGCGGACCCACCTGTACTCTGCAAATGATGGAAAAATTCCCGCACTTGTGCAGTACCCTCTCTCGCAACACGAAAATCGACGACGAATCGCCGAATTCCGAAGGTCAGTCATGCCTTCGGTCGCCTTCAAAGCACAGTTTGGAATCGTCATTGTCTTTAACTCAACACGAAACTGAAGTTGTATAGGGCCGTCATCCTCCCGACGATGATGAATGGAGAGGAGACTTGGACGGGTTACACGAAGCAGGCACGCCGACTCAACCACTTCCACCTCAGTTGTCTTCGTCGCATCCTGAAGCTGAGGTGGCAAGATCGAAACGCCGACACGGATGTACTGGAACGAACGGGAATCCTCAGCATCTACACCATTCTGAGACAGCTGCAGCTGCGTTGGAGCAGCCATTTCGTGCGGATGGACGACGAGCGGCTACCCAAACGACTTTTCTATGGGGACGTCGCCACGGGTTCCCGCCGCTAAGGAGGCCAAATGCGTCGATACAAGGATACTCTGAAGTCCTCCCTGAAACGTCTGCACAATAATCCGGCCAACTGGGAAGACGTCGGTCGAGATCGATTGACCTGGAGGAGACGCTGCGATCTACGAAGCCAACCGCATCGCTGTCACCAAAGCCAAACGTAAAGCACGCCAGTCCCAGCTGCGCCAACGCACAACCGTCTCCAATGTGTCCACGGCGTCAACGGACATTCCGGGCACGAATTGGACTTGTTGGACACCTTCGGACCGCACCAACCGTCGTCCCTCCGCCCAACTCCTCCTCCTCTCCGCCGCCAACTAACTCTGATCGCCCTTCTGAACCACCGTTCCCATCTTCCTCCTCCTCCTCCACCTCCCGCCCCTCTTCCTCCTCCTCCGCAGCTCCAACGTCTGCCGTTGTGGTGCCTGCCACGCACATCAACACCGCACACAATCCTGACACACCCTCAAGCATCAACACCACCACGGTCGACACAAGAGGCGGGGACCAGGACTACACCTGCCCTCACTGCGACCGCGCCTTCACCCCACGCATAGGCCTGGTCGGTCACTTGCGAATCCGTCACAGAGAGACTAACGAACCAGTGCCTGGAGCACTAACCTACACCCGCCGCACTCGCCTCCACCGCCCTCACACTTTCACGCATCGCATGGGCCTATTCGGCCACATGCGCATCCACGAAAACCTGCGGTAGACAACCGCCGGTTGCACCACATAATCACACCCTCCCTCCCTCACTACACATCAACATCACCCACCGCAAGCACCCAATTGCCACCTCCCAAGCAAGTGGGAAGTGTGCGTCTGGACTTGGTCTCCGTGTGACTCGTGTTACACGGGTGACTCGAGCCTGAGACTATCACGACGCGTCAAGCGCCGAGGATAGGAAGGCTGCTGATTGACGCCTCAACTCAGTCCACGCAGTCCGTCCAGTTGTGCGTGTGTGTTTGTGTGGGGTGGCGGACTGGTGGGCTGGGCGCCGGGCCGATGCAGCTCCTTCCACGGCACTCTCACGCAACTGAGAGATACGCCGCTCAATCCCCATTGTGTGAAATCCTGGTGTTGTGAGTATGGGGGGCCAGGTCGTGCCGTGGCGCGTGCAGCCACCGCGCCCATTTTCCGCTGCAGTTAAGTGACCGGCTCGGACAGTGGCTGATGTGTGGGAATGGGAAGGGAGAGTGGGGTCGACGACTCAGCGCATCTTTTCCCTCACTATAAACAATCTGACGCGCTTGAAGCTATCAGGGTGCGCTAAAAGCCGTGGCTTGGAAGGTTGCCAACTGACGGAATAACTTGGACCTCGCAGTCGGCCCAGTGGTGTGTGTGCTGCAGTTGTGGAGTGACCGGCTGGAGGTCTGAGAGTCATGATGCAATGGCTCCTTCTTAATGTGGCCTCTATGGCACTCCCGCTGTGTGGGATCCGAGCCGGGCATGCCTAGGTGCGGCTTCGGCCGTGCCAGCCTGCAATCTCTGTTGTGTTGGTCAAAAACCTGGTTATTTGTTGTGCGGACGAGGGAGTGTGGAGTGGAACGCCAAGTTGCGGGCTCGATCGTGCCATCCACCTGCGGCCTCCCTCATCTGCGGTCTTCTTGACTTTGTCTTGACACCGAGCTCAGGCGGGACAGGAGAAGAGAGTGTAGGTAGATGCAGCGCAAGTCTACTGGCACTATAAACCCCTGCGCAAGTCACCGTCCCTACTCCCACCCCTCTGTGGGACATACGGTGGACATCGTCGAATGTGACGGTCGTACTGTCGTGTGTGTGGGCGTGTGTGTGTCATGTGCGCCACACGTAAACGAGTTGTTTTGTTATTAGCATTATTTTAGTAGTACTGCTTTAACAGTAAAGAAAATGTCCTGCTGAATGTGCAATAGCCTGTCGAAAGTAGCCGGCGCGTCGGGGAAAACGAATATCACACACAAGTAGCCGGACATTTCCTGAGAGCAGTCAGCGACATGACTTACGAAAGCTACCCCGCCTCTCATGTACATGTTGACTGAAGAATCCAACTCGAAGATTAAGCTTGGACAGTCGCATACGCAGTCTAGACGGAGGTGAGGTGAGAGGTGTCAACAGGAAATGTCACTACGTTGGCCTTCCTTGCGAAGACCATACCGAGGTGCCGGACTAACCGACCTTTAACAATCTGATCACTTCTTTTTAACTGTGCCGTTTGTTTTAACGCAACCGAGAACAACGATAAAGGAGGGACGAGCACGTCATGTCCTCTTGAAGATGGACTCGTTGGATTCGCGAATATTTATTTTATTCCCCTACTGGCTTTTTCCCTAGTCAGGCTGATGCATACTTTTGATGATTAGGACTCGCAGTTATGGCGCCCGAGCGCCAGCACATGAGCACAGTAAGCTCCGTGGCTAGCCAATCACAGGTGCCCACAAGCTCCACCATTACCCAATCAACTGACGAGGCTGACACTGACTGACTCTCACGTGACGCCTTTTCACCAACGCCCACGCTATCCTAACGAACAGACGCACGTGGAGGGCATGTTTACCACTCAATCACCACTTTTGCTGCCTCAAATGAAACGTTCTCAGCAGGTTAACATGGAAGGCTGTCCTGATCGTAAATACAGCTTGTAGGATCTCAGACCGAATCTCCACTTTCTGTAATCCCTCTGTCACTCTGTATCCGAATGGATCAACGACAGCAATAACAATAGCCTCCTTGCTAAGGGCACAATCCCGTCCCCCCCTCTCCCCCCTCTCATCAACACTCGCTTCCGCCTTCTGATCCGACAGAAGACGGTGTGGATGCACCCCCACTCACGTAACTGGCGTCGGCTGGACTACGTCCTCGTCAGGAGACGTTACCAGGACGATGTGAGGTGCCGACTGCTGGACAGACCACGTCGTCTCTGGGGTGAAGCTGGAAATCCCGCCCCCCCCCTAAATTCACAAGGTAGTCAAGCATCAGGAAAGGGTTGTACTATTGATTATTGCCGAACGCCGATTAAATTGTAACAATCGTGCGACTCCTAAGTTGGAACTAATGCAGTTACTGGAGGAGATGGCGGCCAGATCGCAGTTGGTAGCCAGGAATGGGGAGGTGGACGGCGATCTTAACCCTAACCTCAATCATAAACGTCAACCGTTAACCCTAACGGCAACCCTAACCGAAATCGTAAACGTAACCGTGGCCTTTAGACATAGTCGTAACTGAAAAACCTAACCTTAATACTGAAACCTATTTGTACTCTCAAACCCTAACCGTAACCCGAGAACCTAAGCCTAAAGGCATAACCCTAATCCGAAAATCGGAAGCCATTAACCGGTACCCTAATCCCAACCTCAAGCGTAAAACGGATGCCAAATGGGTCAGATGTGATTATGGAGCCCCACAAAATAGCCCCAGTAAACAACCCACCCCGCCACCTGAAATACGGTGTCTGGCTACCAACTGCGATCTAACCGAGATGGTCATTGTGGAGACTTAACAGAGGAAACTCCATGACACTTTATGAATAAATCGGTCTATACTTGGGCCTAAAAGATATATGAACACAGGTTATATGCACCAACCACGAGGATGCGGTTTTCCGCTGAATTTTTATTGCAAATTGTGTCTTTTTGAAGAAGGAGACACGATCGCCGGGACAAGAGCTTTATTAGCCTGACGTTTCGGATTCCTGCTGGCATCCATCATCAGAGACACCAGCAGATACGGGTGACTTACACACAAGGGGCTGCTGTATTTATAGGATGCAGTCGCCATGCTACCGCATACCTATGAATGATGATGGCTACCCCCTTCATCCGGGATCGTCGCACTTGGTGTAATCATTGCTTGATGGCAGGACAAGAAAGGGCAGTTGTATCCGCTTTGATACGTGGGCAAGCGTTCAGGACTGTGTCAGGAAAAGAAAACTCACGGTTGTCGATTGAGCGCAGGGAGAGATGGGACGTCGGTACACAACTTGGCAAGGCCTATAGAACGGCAAATTTGTCGGAGTGGGAGTGGAGAACTCGCAAAGAGCTGAAACTTTGGCGTCTATGGGATGACAGCCAAAAGCATCTACACGGTGTCCTAGGAGCAAGACCAGTGGACGCGGTGAATATAACGTCAAATCTGCTCAGCCGATGAAAAATTAAATTTAGGCATTAGAGTTATATCCATGTTCAATATAACTTTCGACCACAAGATCATGGGCATATAAAGGAACGAAGGGCACGTTGGGGAGGATTTCATTAATAAAACGTTAAACAGTTTGTGTGTTGTGGAAGCGAAATGGCATCGCCGCGAACTCAAAAACACCAAATGGAGTCATCATCGCCGTTTTGGGGATGTCTTCTCTTATTCCACTAAAGCTCCATTTAGGCCACCGCTCTGGAAGTCCTCGGTCGCTCACATTAGCAATACCGAGACCGACTCATAAACCCCAACGATGACGAAATCGGACACCTGTTTCCCGAGCAAAATGGACTGCGTACAAATTATGGCAACAGTACCAACGACGCAAAGTAGTATTCTGTAATGCCAAAATGTGGCAGTCCGCGCCTCTTTGCTCTCCGCCGCTCTGTCTGCCTCACGCTCCTTGTCGACTCGCTGCTGGGACCGTGCGGGACATGTCACTAGACTCGCGAGTGCTCGAAGCCAATCAACGCTGCCCCTTCTCTGGTTGGCTGGCGGCCATTGAGACAGAGAGAATGGCAGCCTCTTACAGGTCAGTAAATTCGTCCAACCCAATCACTCTTCCCTGACCTCTGATTAGGAAATCTTTGTCTTGTCGACCATACCATCCCGAACGGGGAATGTAAAGGCCGAGGAAATTTCTAAGACACGCAGTTGCTCAACCAGGACAGAGGACAAGCCGCAGAACCGGGAGTGCTGGATCGCGCACCTCAAGAATTCCCCCAGCAACCCATCAATCGACTTCCTCAAGTAAAGGGCACCGCTGACGTTCTAGATGGTTTAACTTCTCTGCAGGAAAAGCAGCGGGTGGCAAAGCAATTACGAGGTTTACGAGTAGGGCTGTGACGAGGTACCAGACTAATTCACCTTTGACAGTCTAGTCCTGTTTTCTTTTACCGCATTGCTTGTTTTAGCATGGCGGAAACAACACGGATGGACAATCCCCCGGCTTCGCCAGCGTGCTCCGCTGGCGTGCTCTGCTCTCAGGTCATTTTGCGTTTTTGAATATCAATTTTATTCACCAACCGGTCTTCCTAACTGCTCTTAATACTTAGGGCTAGTGAGATATTATTCTTTAACCCGTGAGAACGTTATCATTTACGTCACGGAGGCCCCCAAATCACAGATCAGCGTGCATCGCTGTGTCATGCGGTATAGTGAGCAGGATTTTAAAAGTGCAAGTGTTGTTTTTCTGTTGCTTTCACTGAAGGTCGAACGAGGAGATTGGACCCCTCCCTCCCTCCTTTCCACCCCAGTACCACAGAAGACTTCGCGCCAAATTCCAGAGGGGTCCCTAATCCATATCCTAACTTTAACTCTAACTCTCCCCACATGCAGTAAGTGGACTAACTCATGAAATCTCAACTGAAATTCCGAAATGCGTTTCCGTTTCGAAAAGATTAATTAAGTAGGGTTGTAAAACCAATCATCGTACAGCATCATTCTATAACAATTCAATTACCCCAGGACGCCGGCTTTCGAACGAACTTCTTTCCGGCTGCATCTAAAAACCATACTCCGTAAAAAATGTCTACTTAAGTA